TTACCTTTGTTTTTATCTTTAGCGTGTGACAGTTTTGCCATGGCTTTTTAATCCTAATCCATTCTCAATTCATTTTTTTTCATGTGGAGTAAAGTTCTAAGTCCATCCTTTTGTGTGTAGATGTCCAGTTTTTTCAGTGCCACATATTAAAGAGATTATTCTTTTCACATTGAATAGGGTTGCCCTATTATAAAGCAACTAACACTAAATATTTGGGGTTAATTCTAGAATCTTGTGTGGTTTCTAGTAGCAATTTTATGTTTACTTCTATTATATACTTCAAATTAAATTTATATGAGGCTTAAACAATACAATTTACTGATATCTCCTCTCTGTCTGTCTGTCTGTCTCTCTCTCTCTCCCTCTCTCTAATAAAATAGATATCCAACCATTCCAGGCTACTTTTTGGTCCTTACTTTCTGCCACTATCTTGCTGGTTTGTTCCCTGAATCTTTGCAGTAAGTGTTGAACTGAGAACCCTAAGTTCTCCAGTCCTTTCCTACTTTTTCTTGATTTTTTTCTTGTTCCTTACTGCACTTGATAGGACATTGTTCATCAGCTCTTCTGTCAAAATGTTGTGAGTTGAACAGAGATTATATTAAATCTGTAGATTGCTTTCAGGAGGATTTTCCTCTTGTTATAATTTTGAACACATAAACATGAAATGACTTACCATTTAGAGAGTACTTTGAGCAATATTTGTAGTTTCTTGTGTTCAAGTCTTAATATCTTCTTGGGTAACTTTATCTGTTTTATTCTTTTTAATGCTAATATAGGTAGAATAGCTTTTCAGCCTTTTCTGACAGCTCATTACTAGTGTATACAGAATTAGCCCTTGAAGGCTTTTTCATGGTAGTCATTACACGGGACATGCCACTTAGGAAAAGAGGGAATTTTGAAGAGAGAATTGATAACAATAATCAACAAGTAATGCAGTCATTGCCTTATTCATGTAACTGTAACCCCTCTATACAGCATATTTTATAATAAAAATATACATAATAAAGAAGGAATTGAAAAGGTTTCAATTAAGATACTGTTCATTTCTCTTTCTTGCTCTACTGTCTACAACTTAGAGTAAATGATTGAGTGATATAGTGAAAACATGCATGCTTATTCCTAGTTTTAGAGGATAATCTTTTATTCATTTGCCATTTTCTATTATATTAGCAGAAGCTTGTACATATTTGCCCCTTAACATATTGAAAAGATTCCCGTTTCTTCCTAGTTTATTAAAGGTTTGGGTTTTTAATGAGGTTTTTATATTAATAAAAAACATGTTGCTTTTTAAAAATTTATTAACAAAAAAATTTTTTTAGATTTAACTACCCTTGCATTCTTGGTATAAATCCAACTTGGTCATGATGCATAACCTTTTTCAAGGTTATGCTGTTCAATTCTGTTTTGCTAGTATTGAGAAATTTTGCATCATTATTAGTAAGAGGTTTCAATCCATTGTATTTTGGTATAGTGTCTGAGTTTGCCTTTGGTATCAGAGTAACATTGGCCATACAGAATGAGTTAGCTGTTCCCTACTCTCATATTCCCGGAAGAATTTTAGGATTGCCAACACTTCTTTAAATGTTTGGTAAAGTTCACCAAATGAAGATATCACTTCCATCCAAAGGTTTTCTTTGTCAGTAAATTTTCAATTGCCAATTCAATTTATTCACTTGTCCAATGGCTACATAAATATTCTATTATTTAATGAGTCAGTTTTGATAGTTTTCAAATTTAAAGGAATTTGCCCATTTCATGTAGGATATTCAATTGGCTGGTTTACACTTTTCCAACTAATAGTCTTCTAATGCTTGTTCCTTTTTACAACCACTGGAAGATAATAAATTACTAAAAATGCATGATGTTCTAAATCTGTTTCTTCTGGTCACTCAGCTTTCAGTTTTCTTGTTCACAGCCTGCCCTCTGCTACATGAACCACAATCTTCAACGTTTGATGTCAATTTTAAGAACTCTTCACCTAATCTCAGGTAAAACATTTTCCTGTACTTTCTCACTGAATGTTTACAATTTGAATTTTACATTTAGATTCTGATCCATTTTGAGTTACTTTTTATAAGACACAAATATTAGATCTAGGATCAAGATGTCTAAAAGTTAAATCCCCATGTGTTAATCCACTTTACTACTTCTCCATTCAAATTCCTGCATATTTATCAAAGGCTAGTTGGTGACTTGTCTAAATTAACTTCTGGACTTGCTATTTCTATTATGCTTCTATTCACTTTGCAAATATTATACCATCTTTATTACTATAGTCTTTTATTAATCTTTAAATAGAGTAAGGTAGATTCGTTTCTTCTTTTTCAAAATTTGAGCTCTTCTTTTACACTTTCCTTTCATATAAATTTTAGACCTAACCTGGGTAAAGCTAATAAAATACTATATTGGCATTACTTTAGCAACATTTCACAAATTTTTACATATTTTATTTTACTGCTCAGCTATTTTCTAATTTCCTTCATGATTTCCTGTCACAATTATTTAGAAGTATTTTTGTACTTTAACTTACTTCATATATTTTTGTGATTATCTAATATGATCAGTTTTACTGAGAACAATTCCTGTATAAATTTTTCATAATTGTTGAGGCTTATGAAATTTGTTTCATAGACTAAAAGGATAAGATCTACTGTAGGGAACTCTGAAGCTGAGCTGTCAAACCTGGAAAATTTTTGAGAGGTTGGAACACCACCCTGACAGTACTCGGACTCTGAGAGCTGGCCATGGAAGGGTTAAAAGAGACAGCTCTGGAGAGGGTTAAGAGACTGGAATGATGCCTGCTTCCTTAGTGCTGGAAAGGCTAGCAGCTGGACCTTGAGGGCTGACAGCTTAACCTTGGAGGCTAGACAAGGTAGACTACATATCTGGATTTTCCCTGAGTTTCCTTTCTCAAAACAATAAGGGAACCAGAATTTCTCACAAACCCTGTTTTGGTTCTGATCGTACTTGTGTAGATGCTTTATTTTTGCAGTTATCCATGTATCCTTCCCTGTGTGAACTCAAGTAAATATGCTTGCTCATGGGAACTCAGGCCCACGTGCTGGTAAGCTTTGGGACCCCTGGTTCCCACTGAATTTCCTTTTTCCTCTATACCTGTCTCTGTATGTTCTAATTTTCTTCAGCCTAGTATCCCATTGTGCTGCTTCGGGTTGCAGCTAATAATAATCAACTTTCTTCCTTCTTTTCTCCCTTCCTCTCCCTTCATTTTTTGGCTTTTGAGATGGTGTCTATTTACCCACTGCCCTGGAACTCACATTGTAGCCCAGCCTGCCCTTGAACTCAATAAGCCTTCTGTCTCAACTCCCAGACTCCTGGGATCATAGGAGTATACGACCTGGCTGAAGTGAAATATGTTTCCACATAAGGATGGCTAATGTTTTAAATGCCATTTTGAATATACTATGTTTTTTCCATTCATCTGTTGATGAGAATGTTTATCCTGTTGTTGGAATAATGTTATGTAGGTCAAATTGTTTGATATTGTTGCTCACATATTCTATGTATTTATCACTATTCTAAACCTTTCTTCTATGGTTATCATGTTACTATCAAACTATATTGTGACAAAGAGTCACAATAGTTACATAGGCTTGAAGAAAGATTATAGACATAAGGTACTTTCCATTGCAAAAAAGTCAATTGCTTTTTATCTTATTCATAAGTGTTGTTGAAAATATACATCTGACATCTGTCAGATAACAGCCATATGCCGATTGCTAGGAGCCATGTATACTTGGGTTAATTTAGAGTCTTATGCTTGCTAGACAAGAGTCTATTACTTGGGCTATGACCTCAGCTCTAATAGTTTTTTTTTTTTTTTTTTGGTCCGGTCGTGGGGCCTGAAATCTGGGCCTGGGCACTGTCCCTCAGCTCTTCAGCTCAAGGCTAGCGCTCTACCACTTGAGCCACAATGCCACTTCCGGCTTTTTCCTTATGTGGTGCTTAGGAATCGAACCCAGGGCCTCAGGCATGCAAGGCAAGCGCTCTACCACTGAGCCACCTTCCCAGCCCTAATAGTTTTTTTTTTTTTTTTACTTAGGTTTTTGAGATAAGACTCTCTAACTTTTTCCAGGATCCTCTTGCCAATGTTTTTGGAGTAGCTGGGATTACAGGTACATACTATAACACCTGACTTGCATCCATACACTCTTATAATAAAAATTACCAATCCAGGAAAGAATACATGATTGGAGCTTGCATTTAAGTTCACAGTAACTTACCATCATTCACGAAGAGCTGAGCTTAATGGGAATATAATATGGATCAGCACACTGAAACTGTAGTCGTTAATGGTGGCATTAATCTCTGCTATTCTACTCAAGATATGTTAGTGTTTCTGCTTTACAATCTTGGCTGGAGGTAAATGAGTATATTTTAGGGTGCTCAACTGGGCCTTTGTTATGATAACTCCTACTTCATAAGTCAATTAACCACTGTGAGGATCCTGGACATACCATGTACACTCAGAACACAGAGGGTTTCATGGATCTTTTGGATATGGCATGATATTCCCTTGGACCATGATTTTATTTATTAACTAGCCTCACTTGTGAGGTATTTTGAATTCCGTGGTATCCACACTAACTGAAACTTTTCTGATTTTGTGAGAAAATATAAATTATTTTCCCAAACCACTAAATGACAGCAGAGAAGAGGATTGATACCTGGACTTTCTAATGCCTGTCTCTTACCTTCCCATGAATTATATTCATGCCAAAGAAACATTAGAATAACTAAGCTGGGTGGCTGCATAGGGAATGAATCTTTATTTGCTGCTTACCACATGAACAGTAGGTAGGGACCTACTGTCATCTTACTTCATGTTTCTGATACTGAATGGAAGTCCCTGTATCTTGTACATTGTGAGAAAGGTACTCAGTTTCAGACATGTCCTAACATTTTAGCAAGAAACTTTTTTAAAAATGCATAGGATATTCTATTAGAGAGGCTTTCTTAAGTTGATGAGTGAGAGACTTAGTCTACCTGGATCTAGAACGTATTTGATAATATATACACATCCCAACAGTCAACAGACAAATCAGACTTGACCCCCAAAGGAATCCAGTTCCTGACAAGAAAACTCTCCTTTTTGATGCTGGGCCACTGTCATCACTACCTCCATAGCCTCTGTTCAGGCAGTGGGGTGGAGACCACCCATAGCTGCAGTGACAGTGATGTTTATTATTGCAGATCCCATTCATATTGCAGGTTTCAGGCAGGCAGGCTTGTGACAAGACAGACAGACTGACACACTTCTTATGGATGCAGATCTTTCCTGCTCCACAGGAGGTGCCATCTTTCACTTCACCAAAGTTGGGGATGCCCCACCCAAAGTGATGTTTAGTACCCCAGCAGGTAACACCATCGATGTGGGTTTGCTGCAAAACAGAATGATCTTGGAGCTGGGGAACATCTTCCACATTATCACACTGAACTTTCCCACAAAGGATATCCGACGTGTTACATTTCAAGTATACCGTGCCATTTATCCCACAGTGCCCAATCTGGCTTCCTTGGGAGTTGATTTCTTTATAGCAATTCTGAGATGCACTCTTGGCACCTTTGCCAAAAATCTCCCTGCACTGTTGGTCATGGGTATTACATTGCTTTTGGTAACAGTAGGCAGTGGCACTACAGGGGATCCCGTCCTGCACGTATCCATCTTCTGGACATTGATGGGATGTCCCATTGCACCACTCTGGAAGGTCACATTCATTGGCCTGTTGCCTACAAAGTTCTCCTAATGGCATGAATTTGCAAGCTTTGCAACAAAGCCCAAAAGCACAAGTAGCCCCAGGCTTCAGAGTACAGTTCAACCGACAACAAGGATCTTGTTTACACTGCTGCACAGACCCACAGTCACACTCCTCTCCTCTTTCAATGACACCATTCCCACAACGCTTCAGCCAAAAGATACCTCCTGGTCTTGGATGACTGTGCAAACAAGATCCTTGGCTTAAAATTGTCTTCTTAAATGTATCATAGCTACAATTGGTGAATCTGTCTGCTGGTACTCTGAAAGTACTCATGATGCAACCCTTTTCCCCACAGGAACAGAATTTCTCATCATGCTGCATACCGAAAGTGTGACCTAATTCATGGGCTACCGTGTTAGCAAAAAGAGACCATGGGTCTCCTTGGAAATTATCAACTCCACTGTTAAGAGGAGGACGACATATTCCTGCAACATAGGCTAAACCAAGTACATCTATTGAGCTTTTTATAAAAATGTGAGCAGCATCATGCTGTAGCTGGGAAAGACTGACTTGTTTCCACTGAGTGAAATCCTCCAAAACCTGATTTATGTCTGTCATTGGGAAAACATTTCCTTGATTCCAAATCACAATGCCAATTAAAGTCACGTAAGTATCCAACTGGTGATACACAGAATCCACTATATTGACAACAAGAAATACATCCTCTTGCACCTTTGATAAGTTGCTTTGGGAGTAAATGAAGAAATCATGGTCTGTCACGACAGCCAACTCCAGAAACCATGTATGGGTCCACCAGTCACCAGAAGAATTTTGTTTCAGACCAGAGTTCTCAGCTCCTTCAAATCCCAGGTGTTGGTGTGCTACTGCCTTCTCTGTTAAACCACACCTCATGGCTGAGAATTGTGTCTCATTACCATATAACCGATAAACCAAGTGTTCAAATGCTGTAGAGTGTTTGATGGGTTCGATTTCATAATTAAGACCACTTATTTGTAAGATTCCCCGAAAGCCTCCAAAACAGATGCTGAAAACTACCAAAGATTCAGGGGCTCCATCCACATAACCATGATAGTAACAGTCCCTAGGGACAAAGGGGTAGTCCTCAAGGACAGCATGCTGTTCTGTATAGGTGAACACAGGGAGGTTTGGGGAAACCAACAGCTTCTTGGGCCTCATGTGGACAATGTGCCTGTGGCCCTCCAAGAGCAGGCTGTAGGAGAGCCATCCTGGAGTCTCTGTACTTCTGTCCCTGCTGGTCACCTTCAAGGGGATCACCACTTCAGGGGAACTTGGGTATTGGATGGCCCCCGCCTGGAAGAGGCTAGAAGGGGACAGAGCCACCGCAAGCCAGAGCAGCACAAGAGTGACTCTCAGGGGTGCTCCAGTCTTCACAGCCACCATTACGGACCCATCTTTCCACGGTAGAAGAGGACAGAGAATGAGGTACTTCTGTGAAGGCTCCTCTCCCTGAGGGACTGAGTGCAGCACTGATCTTTATGGATGTGTGTCCTGGCAGAGGAATGGCATCATAGCTGCAGTGCTGAAAATGAAATAAAGAGAAGGGTGGGGCCGGGCATAGGACTAAGGAATCTGGGGGAGAAAAAGAATGGAGGGCCAAAAATTGATAGGTTAGATAGATAGAGTTAGGTTGTTATAAAAAAAGACAATATTGCAATATTGGCCGTATGTTGGTAATTGCTGAAGTTGGAAGATAAGTACTTACAAAATTACCCCAATAGATGGTTATAATGTCCATAAGAAAACGTTAAAGCAAAAACAGAAGAGACAAGTAGGGTAACTCTGTCTTGACTTGTCCAACATAGTACTGAACTAAGTTTGTCTTTGTATAACTATTGACAGTCTCCCATTTAACTGTCAATACTGGAGACATCAAAAACAATAAATAATTCTTATGACAATTTATATTAGTATTGTGGTTTACATTTTTTATTCACTGTCCCTCATTATTATATTCCATTTCATCCAAGACAATTAGACTCCAGGGTCCTTTAACTTTATCTTCTACAGTGCTAGCACAGCACTGTGTTCCATGAAAAGGGAGTCAAGTGCCTTGGATTCTAAATGAGTGCTGTTTAAATGCATTCATGTTTGATTATAGTTTTTCAAAGAGGAAAAATGTCAAAAATTGGACATCTTCTAAGAGTATGGCAAGAATAATCTGTGAGCAATCTGTTCCTACCAGTTAGCAATCAGTAAACACAAAAGACAGAAAGGAATTTGAAAATCCATGCAGCTTAAGGGCCTTGAGAAGAGGATCTCTGTCTTATTAGAACAAAGCCATGGGAATGCCTGTTGTTTTAAGAATTCTAGGGAAGTCTCTCAGTTTGCTTAAATACATATACAACAGTTCTGGAAAGTGGAGAAGTTCTGTATTCAGCATGCATCATGGCTGGGAATGCATCCATTTCTTTCCCTCCTCATCAAAAAAGGCCCCTATATATCTAGAGAATACAAAATGCAAGATGTTGTGTCAGATATTAAGGAAAGAAAATAAAAATGTAAACCATTAACAAAATGTCAATTCAGCAATGAAAGGTGGAAGTAGGAACAGGTCCTTTAGAGGACCTGTTCTACTGTATGCAGTATTTTGTTGAATGCATCAGAAGAGCCCTTCTCATACTCTAAGAAAAGTGTCCAAAGATTTCATCATCATTTCAAATGACTGAAAAAAGAAAGAAAGAAAAATAAAACTAAGAGCTGGGCACAGGTGGTTCATGCCTGTAATGCTAGCAATTCAGGAGGATGAGCTCTGAGGATCATGGTTCAAAGCCAACCTGAGCAGGAAAGTCCATGAGACTTTTACTTCTAATTAACTGCCAAAGAGCTGGTAGTGGAGTTGTAACTCAGATGGTACAGTGGTAGCCTTGATCAAAAAAGCTCAGGGACAGCAGTACCCAACCCCCAAGTTCAAGCTCTAAGTATCGAAAACAATACATTTATAATATATAATAGTTCCCCAAGTGCAGGAGCTCATGCCTGTCTATAACCCTACTCAGGAGGCTGAGACCTGAGGATCTCCATTCAGCAATAGCGATAGCAGAGAAATCTCGAATTATTTCCAATTAACCAACAGAAAGCTGGAGGTTTGGCTCCTTGAGTGCAAAAGTGGGGCGGTGGAGTAAGAGCACAAAGTCCTGAGTTCAAGCCCTGGTACTGGCACATTAAACAACAAAAGTGTAATATATATACATATATCTGAGATGATCCAAACTAGATTAATGTCACTACACACAAACTCCCATAAAGACCACAGGAGGATCTCAACAACGCATTTGAAATTCATGCATTGAAATTAATGAAAGACTTAAGGTCTCTGAAATAGTTTCTACTACCAGTAGCATGTTGCAAAGCTAAAATTCTTTTTCTCTATTATCAGTAATACAAAATAAATATCAAACATTCTAAGTAAAGGAAAAATGTCTTTTTTGGTCCCACAGTAGAAATTATAACAAAGAATTTCCATAAGGGAAGTGATTAAAGAAGAAAATTATAGGGGCTGGGAAGGTGGCTCAGTGGTAGAGTGCTTGCCTTGCATGCATGAGGCCCTGGGTTTGATTCTTCAGCACCATATAAGCAGAAAAAGCTGGAAGTGGTGCTGTGGCTCAAGTGGTAGAGTGCTAGTCTTGAGCTGAAGAGCTGAGGGACAGTGCCCAGGTCTAGAGTTTAAGCCCATGACCAACAAAAAGAAAGAAAGAGAGAGAGAGCGAGAGAGAGAAAGGGAGAGGGAGAGAGAGAGAGAGAGAGACAGAAAGGGAGGGAGGGAGGGATGGAGGGAGGGAGGGAGGGAGGGAGGGAGGGAGGGAGGGAGGGAGGCAGGGAGAAAGGAAACTATAAATTATGCCAGCCCTTGGGACACTGATACAAGGGGACTGGATGTTGTAAGCCATTCTGCACTACATCTGAAATCTGGACTCAAAACCAAAACAAAATAGAATAACTATAGAAAGAATATATTATAAATTGTGTTAGGAGTTACTGTCAATATTGAAGAAGTTCAACTTTTATGAGGTTTAAAGTTTTTAAAGTTTATAATTTGTTGTGACTTCTTCCTTTTGCTAAAAAAATGTGTATTTTAATAGTTATGCATTTGTAACTTTGCACTGCTTCTCTTAAAGTGAAAATTGTTTTGTAGATGGTTTAGGTTTAAAAATTAGGTTCCATATCTCTGGAAAATAGGTTCCATATCACTACCATACTGGCAGTGGTAAACACAGTTTCTTCCAAGAACATAGTTTCTTATAGCATCTTAAACATGATCATCTGAGAAGCCTTGCATAGATGATATGAAAAATGAAGATATCTAAACGGGTACCCATCTTCTCTTTTCTTGGTGAATGCTTCCTTTATCCTAATTAGTGCTTCTTTATATCTCAATACATCTTCCCTGGAAGGAAAGAAGGAATGGAGTCTTCTTTTGAAGATAAAGGGAGAGGAACACAGAAGGGAGGAAGGGAAGAGAGAGAGACAGGGAGAAAATAAAATTCAACCTTCATTTCCCTTTTAAGGAATGTGTCTTGTATCTACCTGGTACATTGAACTTAAGTTTCAAGAAAAATTATTTTTTATTGGAAGGCTTGTTCTAATACTTCTATTCTCAAAAGCTTTATATACCAACCATATGGTCCAGAATCAAAGATCCTTTCCTCTACTTCCCAGTAAGTCTATTTAGATAATTTAATCTATAAAATCTGACAGTACTGACTTTAACATTACTCATCAACCACCCTATCACTCTCACAGAAACTTCAAAGTCTTAAGCACCAACTTAATGAAATTCTCTACCAAAATCTTGCACTCAATCTAGCTAATGTCAGCAAGTAAATAGATAATCTAAAAACCATAAAGGTTGATATTTAATTCTTGCAATAGATTCAATACAATTCAGCTTACTAAAAGAAAGATACTCGAAATAGCGTAAGATAATAACTTACAGCTTTTTTCTCTCTCTCGTTCACGATATGTCCACTTAGGGAATATGAGTTGCTGTGGATGTGAGGGTAGAACATTGGAAGAACAAATAAAAATGAAGAATTGTAAAATATATAGGTGTGGTGACTCAAGCTTAGTACTCCTAGCTTCTTAGGCAGTAGAGATCAGGGGATCATAATCTGAGGTCAAACCAGAACCTTCCCTCTCTGCAAAAAAATTCTCTAGACTCCATCTGAACCAATGGCTGGACATAGTGACAACGTGCCTGCTTTCTCAATTGTGTGCAAGACCATATGTTGAGGATAACCAACATTTAAAAAAAGTTGGTGGAGTGTCTTAAGTAATAGAGCACCTACCTAGCAAGCACCTGGTTCTGAGTTCAAAAGCCAGTACTGCAATGGGAAGGAAGGAAGGAAGGAAGGAAGGAAGGAAGGAAGGAAGGAAGGAAGGGAGGGAGGGAGGGAGGGAGGGGGGAGGGGGGAGGGAGGGAGAGCACAAAGGGCATGGAAGGAAGGGAAGGAAGAAAGGAAGGATGAGAAAGAGAGAAAGAAAGAGAAAGAGAGAAAGATAGCAGTTGTCCATGTAGAGCAGAGATGCTGAGGGACTATAAATGGAGCTCAGACCTCATACATGGATCAGGAGTTGGGGAAAGGTTTTGTATTTTTTTCCTAAATGCTTGAGAGCACCAGTGCTAAGAGGTCATTTGTTCAAGGACATAATAACTAACTGTATTCAATTAAAGCTACTCCAGGCTTTTCTAGAATATACAATCTCCTGGGAAATTAGGAAGCCCAGTGATCTCATGGAAGTTCATTATGGACTCCTCTGAATCAGTCTTCTCTAATGATTTAAGAATGTCTGGTTACTGCTGTACCCACAATGTTGAGACATTTGTCATGGATGTAGACTGAAAAAGCAACTTCAAAAAAATGTTCACCAAAACTAGTGACCCAAAAGACATCATGGGCCACACCAAGAAAAGTCTCCCTGCAAGCCCCAGCCCAGCCACAAACCATATTTTTTTCTTTTCCTAGAGCTCAGCTTGACAGCAGTCAACAACAGAAAAATAAGTTCAAAGAATTTTTAAACCAGATTCTTGGTCTCACTCCTAGGATTTCAGAGACAAAAACTCCTGAAACAACAAGTTTTACTCATCCCTAGAGCAAATCAGTGCTAGTAAAAATGCATGTTCTCTATCATAACTCTCTCAAGTCAACACCCATCTACCACATATTGTATAAACTTCCCCTTCTCACAGCAATTTCAAATTCCTTACAACACTTACATACCAATAACATCTTAATCTAATGTCCTATTGTACTACTTCTATTTGTCTGGCACTAATAGGTCAGAACCCAATAGAGAGGTATGGAATTAATTTAGTCAGTCATAGCCTACAGTTTTGTTTTAAGGCAACAATAGAAATACCAGAGTATCCCTAGATCTTAAGTGATTTGTACACAAATGGTGCCCATTTATTTGGAGAGGGGAGGGGATGTGGAGGATAGTGAGGCCACTGAGTCACAAAACAAAGTAAAAAATATCT